TCAAGCAAATGCATGCCTTGACTGTTTTGCCTAATAGCCAATTTCTTTTGTTGGTTATTAAATTTTTGCTTGATGAAAAGACTTGTTCTGATGGAATGCTCGTTACAGGTGCTGCCAAATAATCATGTGCCATGAGTGCTAAATATGAAAATTGATGTTTATGCATTTTCCACCACTCTAATATATCAGTTTCGGCACCCACGTTTGGAAGAGAAAAATACAGCTGTAATTCATCTGGTTTTTCTACATAACACTGCTTAAATAGCTTCAAACTAACTGTCCCTTGAATATCTTTGCCACTGCCTGATGTAGTATTTTCTATACCATACTTCTTGTATTTTTGAAAAGCTTCTAAAAAACTTTAAAATTGCAACATATTTAAATTTATTTTATCGTATTTAATAAAATATAAAAATATATTTACCTTTCTTTAATTTTACTGATCATTTCTTCCTCTTTATTTATTTCATAATATTCTATTTTAAATCTCTGATCTAAAATAACTGCCAGCAAGCTTGCTTTATTAGTCTTGTTATAATACTCTTTAAATTTTTCTAAACAAGCAGCAGCTGCTTCTTTTATTGTTTTGTCAGCTTCTTTTTTACTACATATATCTTCTAAATGGTCAATTAATGTATTATACCCAGGGATAATCAAGGAAAGTGTCGGGTAGCTTGAAGCTGAAATTATTTCTGTTATTTCTTTAAACTATCCAAGCAATTCTACAACCTGCCCAAATATATTCCAATCATCCTCAGTAAATATATATTGTTTTAATTCTTGACTTGATATTGTAATATACTCGATTGCCTATATATAAATTTTTTAAATTAAAATTAAAATAAATATCAATAAAAACAAATTAAACTTACTGCTTTTAGCTGTATAACATGAGTCACCATTTCATATGTTGAATTCCAGCGTGTTTCTATATCCAAAATTAGTTTCAAAGCTTCCATTTCTAGAAACTTGCAAGCTGCATTTAATTTTTCACATCACTAAAGTGATGATCGTATTTTTACAATAAGCCTATGCAACTATATATATATAAGTTAGCTACAGATATAAAAAAAATAACCTATCTATAAAAAATTTACCTTTTGCAATTTATTTGAAAGTATATTCAAGGTTTTTGTACTCAATATTAATGCAGTATGCAAGACACCGAAAATGGTTCTCTTCTGCACCGAAAGAAATTGCTTGCAAATTTCCTCATTCTTCCAGTGATTTAATAAATGACAAGTTATTTGATGCATTGTCAGTCGTTATTCTCATTATCTTTAAAAAATATATATATATATATATGTTATAATATGTAACTGCAATATATTAATGTAAAATAAATTTAATTTCTTTTGTACCATATATTTTTCTAAGCACGATACAAAACTTTCTTTGATATTTTCATCTGTATGCATGCCCCATATTTGTACAAAATCCAATATTATATTATGCATTTTTTAATCATTACTGATAAAATGTGCAGTTATTGCTAGAAATGCCTTCATCGAAGTTGATGTCCAAATATCGAGGGTAAATGAAATATGACTCTTCACTTCTTGCAAAATTTTTTTAATTTTTTCTTGATCAACCAAGTACAAATCTATTATATATGTTTTAGCAGTTACAGCAGCTGGTATTCTGGTTTTTGTGAAATTGATTGGATAAATATACAAAATGCTGGCTTCTCTACGATTGTAAAAGGGTATTGGTTTATAACAATCCATCAGATGAGATTTTGTTTTATTTTTTCAGGTTTATGTATACACTATATAAAAAATAAATTTAGTTTAGTTTTAAATTTAATAAATATTTTTATATGTTATAGGTCACTTGAGTAACGTGATTTATGTGTAATGGTCTAGAATTCAAAACCTGAAAGTCTGGCATGAAAGATTGAGTGTTGCAAGATAAGAAACTTTAGATAAGGCTCAGGTACTGATAAGGGAACTATGTGTATCTGAAAAACTATGGAAAGTTTAGCAAAGCTTAGGGTTAGTATAGCCAATTATAAAGTAGATAGCCCATTGTTAGTTAGAAAAGTATAAATAGCTTACCAATGCATACTGAAAAGGCAGAGCTGAATATGTTAGAAAAACAGCCCTCCTTGAGAATAGAGCTGAATGTGTTAGGAAAAACAGCTCTCATTGAGAATAGAGATAAGAGTTAGTAATATATCAAAGAAACAGAACGCAATAAAGAGACACTTACCTTCAGCCAAGTCAATCACCACGCCCCTGCCTTCCTTAAGTGTTCTTTATTGGAGGCGTTCTCTTCTTTGTGTCATTTGTGAATATTCTTTATAAGTCTGGGTTATGCGAGATGCTACAGATTAGCGACGAACTCGCTGGGATAGTCCACGACAATACTGACCACTGTAATATTGAAAAAATTTCTGATTAAAGGTTTATCGGAAGTTGAATTTATTTTTATCTGATGGTTTTTTTCTAAGTGTTTGAAAAGATTAGAGGTGCTGCCTCCACTACAGATATATTTGATACTGTAATAATTGCAGGAAACTTTTTTACTTTCATTGAAATTGGAATCCTTTGTAAAATGGTTTCATACTTTACTTCTATAATTTATTTTATTGCTCAATGATATCTCCAAAAAACTACTTGTTGCAATATTACTAGTATCGCTCAATTAATAGTTATCTAAACTAAAACTTCTATTATTTATTTCATTGGAATCATCGAAAGAACTGTCATATTTCATTTTATTTTGATATAAATAATACCAGTAAAGTTGCAAGGAGAAAAATATCATAAAAAATATCACAAAATTTTAAAGAAACATGTAAAGGTGTTAAAGAAATATAAAAAAAAAACCAGGGGGGTTTTTTTAATTACCTTAAATAGCTACATTTAAACTGCTGATTTTTATTTAACCTGGCTAGGTTTTAAAACTTGAAATCCGTATCTGATTCATATACAAACGGATCAAAAAATTTAAAATCCGATTCGATTCATTCAAATCAAATCTGCAGATCATTCGGATTCAAATAAAAATTGAAATCCCTAACCTCAACTATCAACAAACAAAAACCAATATATACTGCATAATATGCAGGGGGAATGAAACAAACATCTATAAAGAATTATAATAAATAATAAATAAAGAAGTCAGTAGTAGATCAAACACACCCACAAAACACAATCTCAATAAAAAACTCAACAAACAAGCAAAACTCTAGACAAATGAAGTCAAGAATTACATAGCAAAAGGAATCCTTACAATGAACTTAATAAAAACTATAAAAAAATATACACCAGGTAGAACATTATAGGAAACCATCAAAAGTATTATCAACAGATTCCTCAACATACAACAAGGAAAATGGAACCACAAATGTGATAATTTTATACAATAGGAAAAGAAACATAACATTACTACAAAAGACAAAAGGCAATGGCAACCCATAACCATAAAAAAGAACATACACAAATTCTGCATCCTAGGAATCAATGCAATTATGGCACATGCTAGCCACCACTGAATTAACTGGAATACAATCTATTCATTTAAAACAAAATTTTTATGGGATAGGTAGAGCCTTGGCAAATTAGTCAAGTATATACCAGTACTTGGTAATAAGCCACATGGTAGGAAAATTTCCTTGGTAAGTTTACTTAAGTAGATAGAGTAATAAATTTGTATAAAATAAATTTGTACATACTCGTCATAAAACATCTAATAAACAAGGTGTAAGCCACCCGTTCAGTAAAATAATAATAATAATAATAATAATAATAAAAAAAAAAAAAAAAAAAAAAAAAAAACCATTAAAATAATAATTAAAATCAAAATTTTTATTATAAATAAAAACAATTTCTCTTCAAGTATATATACAGTATATTTAATTTTCTTTGAATAATGTACTTATAGTAAATTAGATTTATTCTGAAAAATACATTGTGTTAAATATTGAATAGAGCAATTAATTAATTTGTAATTATCAAAATTAAAAGAAAAATATACTATATTATATACAGACAACCTATACAGGTTCTGGTCGTAAGCTTTGTGAAGTTAATATTAAATCAGTTTATCTTGGTCTGTGCTATGAATATATGTATTTTAAACTTTATAAAAATATTAAATCTATTGCAAGAAATATTGGCTTATTATATAAACATTATACAAGACATGGTATTGACATAGATACGTGTGTGTTTATGTAATATATCCACCAACGATCGCGCACAACTGTGATCTAATAAAAAGGTTACCTGCCATTCTTTAACATATTTGCAAAAAGATAATAATTTATATCAATGATATTATTATCGAGAATACCGTGTATGCTTTTCAAATAGACTTTACTTGATTAATGCATCGTAACAACTAACACAATATATAATATTACGAGTTTATAAATTATAGAGCGGAAATAGATGTTGACATTTATAATTTGAGCAATTAACAAATAATCGATCAAATGATTAAAATGAAATCTTGTCTGGTGTAAAGTTGTAAACCAGCTATCATCTTTGTCCTGTCATCACGTTTAAACGGTCGAAAAGTGCTTCTTCTCATAATACATGCTAACATTTTTGCTTCAACTTTTATGAAACATTTAACGCATATAGCCAACGATAGTTATAGTACAAGAACTTATTTCGTTTCAATAAACACACGTCATGTCTTTATCGCGTTAGGATTATTAAAGAATCATTTTGAGATAATAATAGTAATTCGAATTCGTACAAATAAGTTTTTATCCATAATTTATTTGTAAGAATATTTCATAAATCATTGCTATTATATATTGAGGCTTGGATATACTGATAGTTTACGTGGCAGTTTTAAGAAGTGGATTAGAATTAAAAAATGCACCGAGAAAATTTCTTAAGGTGATTCCTGAATTTTTAAAGAAAAATCTACATGAGGTACCCCTTGAGATAAACTTCCCATGCTCAATATATCAATATCTACACAAGACAAAAAAAAAAGAGAAAGGTAAGCAGAAATATTTGAACCATTAGTGTATAAAGTGATTACTCACCCGGAGAAAAGTATTCACTAATATTCTCTTCCGTGATTCCTCCACTAGACTCGATTAAGAATTCTTTCTTTCCTCGCCACCTTTCTTTTAATGTCTTCGCACAAGTTTTCAGGCCATCTCCTTTTAGATTATCAAGCATTACGATGTCAGCTCCAGCTTGAATTGCTTCCTCAGCTTCTGACTCACTACGGCATTCAACTTCAATTTTCAGCGAGAATCCACCAACTATTCGCGCACGTTCGACAGCATTAGTAATTGATCCTAAGTGAATATTTCAATTACTAAAATAAATATAGTAAAGCGAAACGAATTCCTAACCAAAAGAGAGTATACCTTGGCTCCAGATATGATTGTCTTTAAGCATGATCATGGTTGAAAGATCCATACGATGAGTATCTGCACCTCCAACGAGCATCCCGTACTTTTCTACAAGCCGAAAGCCTAAAAATTCATGAGGAAGACTAACACGATTAATATTGCTCCGGGATTTTTGTTCACACTAATAATAGATACCTGGAGTTGTCTTCCGCGTTCCAGCAATTATGCCTTGAAAATTATGTGCTTTCTTTTGGTCAACACATTTCTTACTTCTAAAAATAAAGTTTGTTTTAATATCTAATGACGACAAATCTAGAGGCGATGCAATGCTTGGTGATTGCAGCAAACCTTGTGGCCACTCCACTACATCGTGCAAGAATGTTCAGTGCTAGACGTTCACCCTGAAGAATATCACAAGCTTTACCTCGGACCTTTGCGACTTGCTTGATTGGTTCAAAATAGTCGCCTTCGTTTAGAAACCATTCGACACTTCATTGATCAGAAAAAAAAATTTTTTTTTTAACTCCGAATCATCTCTCGAAGTTCGTAAGATAAATAAGTCAGATTAAGTACCTGCAATCCATCTGACGAAAAACCTCGTCGAAAAATGGAACCCCAGCCAGTACTCCCTTACGATTAGGAAATAAGATAAATAAAATTCATGCCACATAGATAACTATATTTATTTGTTTTACTTACAGGTGACTTTCCAAATAGAATCGAAGTTTTTTGAGTTTCTCCAACTACGTAGCCTCCATAGTCAAAGGATGTTATGTCTTCTTTCAACCATGCGGCAATATCATTTTTAAATGATATGGGAAGAAGATTCGCAAAGTTGGACATTTGGTGCTAGGAATTGATAATAACATCGACACATATGAAAAAGGAAAATTGCATTACACAGATTACACACAACTGTGATACAATAATTTTGTTCGACTGCACATATAGACCTGGTAATCGATAAATCTAACTGATTTCAGTAGAAATTTCCAAAGATGCCAAAATCATTCCTGGGAAATCCTGCTTGGGTAGTTCCCACAATTATCACAATCGCTCATCGATCTTTCGTCATATCGAGTAATCCTTAACTTAGGTGCCAATCTGAAATTCAAATTAGGATAATGCACTTGCAGGATTTACCGCCGGAGCCGTTTCTACAATTTGCTTGCACCCCCTGGACTTGGTAAAAACGAGATTTCAAGGTTAGCAAGGGGATATTGGAATTAAAAGAATTTTGCCTTCGTATTAATCAATCAAGAACTCTTCGAATTAAGTTTTTTTCCTTTTTTTTTTTATTAATAGTTGACAACACCGTGAGAAGTTTATCGGGAAAGCGACAATTTGGTGCCACCTTTAATACTTTAAAGGGCATTCTTGCAAAAGATGGTTTCACCGGACTGTATCGAGGAGTTTCGCCAAATTTTGCGGGTTCCACCGCAAGTTGGGGATTCTATTTTTATTGGTAAGAAATTCCTTGAAATATATGCTCTAATTTTGGTAGGTTTACATAGCTGTCGCGTTGAAAATGATAACCGTGAAGCCGAGAAACGAATCTAAGTTATTCGTATTTGTCTAATAGGTATGATTTGATCAAACGAAAGATGGCAAAAGGTGATAAGTTGAATAAACTGACCGCTATACAGCATCTAACAGCGTCAGCTCAGGCAGGTAACTGCTATCGAAAATATGTCGATTTTATCCTTACGATAATTGTTTCTAATTGCAAATTTTTTTCAACTTTGAGTTTAGGCATAATAACAGCTTTTGTAACAAATCCATTATGGGTCGTTAAAACGCGAATGTGCGCTACAAGTCGAAAGGATCCTGGTGCATACAAAGGATTACTGGGTACTAGTAACTACATTATATCACAAATTTTACACTATATACTATATGTCAGTATGATTAATATCTAATGAAAGCAGATTTGATTTAGATGGTCTCTACCAGATAATCAGATACGAGGGAATTCGTGGCTTGTACAAAGGAATGATCCCCGCATTGTTTGGCGTATCCCATGGAGCTCTACAGTTTATGGCTTATGAAGAAATGAAAAAGTGGAGATTTAGAATATCTCCAAATAAGGATCGAGATAGATTAGTGAGTAGTGACAATGATTTCGTGTCAAACATTCAACCTACCTAACTCCGATATCCATATTTCGTTTCAAGAATAATTTTGAATACCTTTCAATGGCCGCCTCCTCCAAGACATTTGCGTCTGTGGCCACCTATCCGTATCAACTTATACGCGCGCGATTACAAAATCAAAAATTTGAAATTAGATATTACGGTGTGATTGATACAATAAGGAAAACTTATGGGTAGTTATTTTTTTTTTTCAAAAAAGTAAAGAGATGATTTATATTATGGATCAATATAATATGATATTTATCTTAATTTATTCTGTTAATAAGGACCGAAGGATTCTTAGGTTTTTACAAAGGCCTAGCCCCAAACGTGTTGAGAGTTCTTCCTGGTACCTGCATAACTTTTTTAGTTTATGAG